AACTTCAAACGGGCCTGTAGATGTGCTTTCTTGAGCAGGGGGACCTTGCGGGCACAGCAGGATTTCAGTCCTTCACGGCGTAGTGTGTTACCAACTGTTTTTTTGGTGACTATGGTCCCAACTGCCTTGAGATCATTGACAAGTTCCTCCCGAGTAGTTCTGGGCTGAATCCTCACCGTTCTTGTTATCATTGAAACTCCACAAGGTGAGATCTTGCATGAGGCTCCATACCGAGGGAGATTGGCAGTTAATTTATGTTTCTTCCATTTGCGAATAATTGCACCAACTGTCGTCACCTTCTCACCCAGCTGCTTGGCGATGGTCTTGTAGCCCATTCCAGCTCTTTGGTCTTGGCCATGGTGAAGAGTTTGGAATCTGGATTGATTGATTGCTTCTGTGGACAGGTCTCTTTTATACAGGTAACGAGCTGAGAGGGCTCCCAATGTCAGCTCGTTACCTGTATAAAATACACCTGGGAGCCAGAGATCTTGCTGACTGATAGGGGATCAAATACTTATTTCATTCATGAAAATGCAAATTAATGTATAACTTTTTTTGTAATGCATTTTTCTGGATTTTTTTTTGTTTGTTATTGTGTCTCTCACATAAACCTACCATTGACATTGTAGACTGATCATTTCTTTGTTAGTGGGCAAAACTTACAAAATCAGCTGGGGTTCAAATAATTTTTTCCCTGACTGTAAGTGACTCCAGAAGTTGGCAGTAATGCAGCATCTAGGATCTCAGCTGCCAAGACAGTATGGCACAAACTATTGCTTGGTGCACCAGAACGAGGAGATAAGGACACAAAAATACACTCAGACAAGCTAAAGGTGAGATTTGTGCTGTTTTCAAGTGTTGTAATTTACTTTTACAAGAGATAAGACTTTAAAGGTGGTATCCAAATGCTTGGCTTTGCATTTGTGTTTCAGGTTTGTTTTCCCAACTCATTTTAAAGTTTTGCTGCAGAGCCTGTTCTGGTGGGATATTAACAGCCATTTTGTTTTTAAGATAATTGTGCATTTAGGTGTAGGATTAATTTCACAGTGGAGACATAAATATGTTTTACAACCTTTTGACTGTCTCTGTCCAATACTGGGTCACTTTAATTAATTAGGTAGCAATTAATTATGCTGCAATTAATTACAGTAGCTAACTAGCTAAATTAGCTGAGCTAGCTACAACAACAGAACAGAATTAGCTTGACTTTACCCATCATTTAAACTAGTAACTGCTGATAAATCCCGCTCTACAAAAAACAATGGATCTGAATAGAGTGTTTGGAACTTTGTGACCTGCTGCCATTTTTTGACCCCTCAGTGTCACAACTCTTTGTTTTAACGGCTCTGGTTCTGTGTTGTGTTGAAAAGAATCTGCCATGACACAAGGATTTCTGTTTATTCTGACAAAATTAAGTGAAAGACAAAGGCCTCCATGTAAATAACCTGCCTGCTCCAGCCTCTGAAATGAAAACGAGACTGAACAGGCGTTAGCTTCATCAAAACCTTTAAGCTAGCAGCACTCAGCTGTTAAATATAACCTCATAACTGCTCCTATTGCTAAGCTTCATATTAACAGGTAAACAAAAGGTTGCATTATGATTATAACTAAAAAGAAAAAGTGACAGGAGACTTGTACAAAATGGGAGGGGTGAAGGGCGCGCACAGATTTCTTCTACATGGGGGTATAGAAGAAGAAAATCTAGAGGAGTGGCTTTGAACTTGAACACAGGTATTTGCAAATTATAGACAGACTCTGTGCCGCATAGACAAACGGTGCTGACAGGTGTCCACCTCAAAGGCCAGGTGACCATTGATGTTATGTCGAAATCTGTTTTCCCAGTCAGATTTGCCCTAACCATAACAACCTGGGGGCGGGTGGGGTTTCCCATGGGTGGGACTGGGCTTAGGGTTAGATTCTGGGGCCAGGGTTTGCATAGGGCATGAAAACTTGTCACATTTTGTTAAGAACTCAGTAACACTTGTTAGGAAGGTGGTAGAGAGATGGGAATTGTCTCTGGGGGCATTAGGGTTAGAGTCAGGGTTAAGGGGTTAATTAGCTGTACTTGAAGCTTGATTGAGAGAGGAACTCTCACTGAGCTCAAGATCTCGTTTGCAAGAGACCCCTGTGAACAGATTCCATGCACAGGCTTTCAGCTGGGTGACCAGTGATAACCAGAGCCTTGTCGGCGCCGTGTCTCCAGAGCAGTGTCAGGCCTCCTCTGCTGGAGGGAGGAAACATCCATCCATCCAAACCAGATCCCCTCATTGTGTCCAACCCACTGTCAGATCAGATCATCAGGACAATGATCAGCTGACTGATCAGTGACCCTGCTGTTTGGGTTTCCACTCAGTCAGGTGTCTCCTCCGACACTATATGTACACCCATTTAGTGTGCACACACAAATCCAGGCCAAAGTTCAGAGAAGACCTGTGTTAAGGAAAAAATTGTGTTTTCCTTAATTCTGTATAATACATGAACAACCATCAGTGAGTGAGAAATAAAGAGAATCGAGATGGATACATCTTCTGTGTAATTTATTTCTACAGAAAGGAGTAGTCTACAACAGCACTCAGAGAGGCATGTTACAGAGACTCAAAAAATAATGAAGAATCAATTCAATATAAAGCAGAGGATAACATCACACAAAGGAGTGTACACTGAGGACAATCATGCATCTGTTTTCAAAGAGTTCCTGGCATCCAAAAACACTGAGATGTTCACAGGAGATACTTTCAAGGACTGCGGATGTTACAGTTGCTTGTGCAGTAAACAGAGATACCTCAGGCATTCAGTGTGTCAGCAGAAGTTCACGTCCAGTGTGTGAAAGTTTACCACAGTTAGCAGACTATAGTTTTATATTGGTCATTTACATATTAATGGATATACTGAAAATTGCCATTATATCCTGGAGCCAAATATGATCATTTATTACATTATGTACAAAAATGTTAATTAGCTCACGACTGGTATTACATTACATTATCAGTTTTATTGCATTTTGTGATTCTATTATGTGTAGCTCTTTCTTATATCCTTAACACTTTTTTGCCAGTATGGATATGAAATAAGTCCTAATTGCATCTTAAACGGAACTTACAGAAACCCTGTTCTACCTCTGTTCTGGTCTGCAGGAGAACTGAACACAAGCAGCAAGTTTCCTGGAACAGAAACCTTCAGTGAGCTGACCTGCAGCTCCTGCTGTCTGTGTCTGATGTGTCTGTGTGTTTGTTTAGTCTCTGGGACAAAAATCTCATTACAGATGCAGCTCTGAGTCCCAGCAGTCTGACTCCAACTATTGAACTAATTAGGCAGAGCAGATAATTAAACCCAACATCCTTCTCAGAGGAAAGTAAACTCCACTGGTTTGACCTCAGGGCCAATTAGCTGCAGGGAGCGAAAACAACAAAGTGTCGGCTGAATCTCGAAGGGACGAGCAGCAGCAAATTAGATTTTACAGCTTAAACCTCGGAGGAACCGTGCTCCCTCCTCTCATTTACTGTGTCCGTCCTGCAGCAGGACATAATGTCAGGCTGTTTGAAATCACTAACACATTGAAAAAGGAGCAGTTGCTTTATTTTCTCTTTGTTACACACACTGTGTCACAACAGCAAACAGATGCCACAAACAGAACGATACACAGAGCATATCAGAGTTGACTCCCAGGCTGCAGAAATACCACATCATGATTCCAGAGGTTTCGTAGTGTGATACTTGGACAACAAGAAAGAGACGAAGCAAACAGGGTTTGTCATGTCAGGACCTGGTGCGATGCAGCGTGTACACCTAACAGACTGGAGGGTATAGATACTGTTAGGGCTGCAGCCACTGAGTGTTTTCAGTGTAGATTAGGCTGTTTTCTACAAAATGCCACAACATAACCAGTGTCCAGGATTCTCTTCAGGCAAGAACCAGAAAATGTTCACATTCGAGTGTCTTCCATCAGTGTGGTTTTTGACATTTTTGCTTAGAAATGTCTAAAGAAGAATCTGTTGCTGTGTCATTGGTGAAAACTGCTGTTCCAACGCACCAACCTGAAAAATGGCTTGAGTGCCTTGAACCAACCTGCAGATGAGGGTAAACAGACAGTTTGTGAACATGATGGTAGCAGGAGACTCCTCAGTCCGTCTCCTCCTCTGATTGGCTCAGGGCCATTGTGCTGAGTTTAGGATCCGTCCTCCTATGGGACATTTGGACATCAGCTATAAGACGACCTGAGTGAGGACTGTTCTTCTTGGTGAGCGGCCGACAACTGCAGGTAGGAAGGCTTTTCATCTTTTAATGAATAATAATGTTGTGTTGCTGTCTGGTAACGATAAACCTAAATTCTGAGAACATCGAAGTCAAACTGTTCACGTCTCGTTCATTCCCTGACATTTACAACTAAACACTGGAGGTTGTTAAACAGTAACTGATTTAATGACGAGGTACCTCGTTCTCCTTACTCGGTGTAGTATAAGCAGATAGGATAGACTTATACCAACTGTACCAAATACTTACTTAGTTGTACTTGTACTTGCTATGTGATACTTGTGGTACACGTTATTTCATAGACATGTTGTGCTTTTCATTTACAGCTCCAGTTTACTTTGGAAATGTAAGTTTACAAAGCCAACAATGAACTGAGATATCAGAGTACATTTTGCTAGGTATACATACAGTATTCATACTCTAAATGCAGAGCTTGTGCCTCCAACAGGGTATTTTTGGATTTTGATATTACTATAGACAGAACTGTTAAGAGTCCACCGCAGTTTATCATTTGGAACAGGAGTCAGTTTTTGTCCTAAGTGTTGTTCTTGCTGTTTGAAGGAGACCTCAATCCATCAGTACAGTAGTTGCACTATTACAACATAGTCTCTCTCTTTAACAGTATTTTATTTTCTGTTTGTTCTACTTTGCTTTGAAGCTGCTGTCACTAAAAGTTACTTTCTGATTAGATGTTCACATTAAAAGCCCCGCAGCATCTCGAAGTCCTTGTAAACCCCCCTATGCTTTTATTGTGAACTATCTGTAGAGGTGACAGGAACCAGTGAACGACAAACTATTCTCACATTGGTTTAAATAGTGGCTCTAAACAAAGATCAGCAGTGGGATTAAGGTGGTTTTTCTTTATTGTTTATGAGATTTGAGCCACAAAGTAGCATCATGTTTACAGCCATCATTAGCTGATAAAGTCAGGGAGATGTTTGATTGTATGCCTTCATTATTGATTCATGATTGATTTCCCAAATTCTTCCCAAACACAAGACACTGAATTTACAGTGACAGAGGATGAAAACAAAAACCAGGAGCATTTTTGCTTCGAATCCTGTATTAAACATTCATACAGTGTAGACCAGGGGTGCCCACACTTTTTCACCTTGTGAGCTATTTTTCAAATGACCAAGTCAAAATGATCGACCTACAGTTAAAATACTAAACATATATTTATTTATACCTTATGTAAACACAATATATATTGGCACACCTTGCATAACTGCATGAACCTTAAGACACACTACAGTTCAGTACCTTTTTGGTCATTAGTTTAGTTTAGTTTTTAAGTCTGCTTTGTGTAGCGCACATTGTCAATTTGCGCACATGCTTTCGGTTGCGTCTCCAGCTCTGATGCGAGATTTTGGAAGTTCCTCAAAATGTTGCATTTTTTTGTTTGAAAGCATTAACTAAGCTAATTATATTGACACAAGATCTACTGACACTACCTTTGCGATCGACGTATTGGGCAGCTCTGGTGTACAGTAACCTGAGTATGTAGGGATGTGCAGGTATATGGTGCGTTTGACTATATAACAGTATGCAAACCTTTATTTGAAACATACTGATGTTTTACATTATTTTATAATCCCCTGATTAACATTTGACCTGTTTTGAGCAAGCTCTGTCACTGGTGTTGTTTTTAACCTGTGTTTTTGCATCTAGTCATGTAGAGGGGCAGAATAATGATGTTTGACACGTGTTGTGTCTGTCTTATGTTTACAGATACCTTTGTGATGCAGCCCTCTGTTTTTTATCCAGGCCTGGGCTCAGCACAAAGGTTGCATTGATGTGTTCAACGTGGGGGGCTGGTGGACCTGCCTTTGACATACCGATGCTGATCATCATGATGATTACTGTATAATCATACCAAGACCCGCTGGCCTTCATGTATTGGCTTAACAAACACGTCAGCAATAGGGTTTAATGCATCATATTGTATAAACCTTACACAACAGTGAAACGTGAATGTGCCTCCATAGAGTTTAATACATTATTACACTCAGTAACTTGTGAATATCAAAAAAACAAAAAACCTATTGAACTTATCTACTACATCCTCCAATCTATTAACTGGTGTGTCATTATCCATAAAATATTGAGGGTAGTTACTCTTGCTGGAACTGTTTCTAATCAATTTATTTAATATATTCCAAGTACCTCATGTTATTTTTATTATCCTCTAATACTTTAGAGTAATATAGTTTCTTACATCTCCTCAAAATCTCAATTAATTTGTTCTTATACGACTTATATTTTTCTTTCGCCTTCTTTGATCTGTCCTTTATGAAGTCTTTATATAACGCATTCTTCTTTTTACATGCATTCTGTAATCCCTTACTCATCCACGGTTTCCCACTGTAATTCCTTTTGTTTTTATACTGCTTACGAGGACAGTTCCTGTCATATACTTTCTTAAATATATTTAAAAATTGCTCATATGCTTTATCTAAGTCTTCCTCTCTGTAAACTGGTTCCCAGTTTTGCCCCATAAAATCCTCTTTTAGCCTCCTTACAGCATGTTCATTCGTCACCCTCCTATAGAAAAGATTTGTTTTTGGCCTCTCTTTTCTATACTGGCCCTCATAAACCACAAATACTGGTAGATGATCACTAATATCATTTATAAGTAATCCACTTGTCATTTTGCTGTCAATAACATTGGTAAATATATTATCTATTAGTGTCGCATGCTGGGTTGTTAATCTACTTGGTTTTGTAATTTTTGGGTATAAACTGCATCTATATAATGTGTTAATAAACTCCTCAGTTCCTGTGTGCTTGTTAGGATTTAACAAATCTATACTGAAGTCACCACATATGAACATTAATTGATGACTTATTGTCAA